TTGAGTGACTGACTTCCACTCTATCTTGTATTTAAATGTATATTCATGGCTAATTCTGTGCTGAAACAGACCCAGCAGGCTGCTGAGAACCCCAAAAAAGAGTCTGCACCACCATGGGGAGCATAATTTTTGCCCAGTGCTGCAGGTTCTGAAACACATCCCCAGTTTTGGGAAACCAGAAGGAAAACCCTGGGCAAACAGTCTTCAGCAGTGGCAAGGAAAAAAAAAAACAACAGGGCTCAGGCATGCTCAAAACACTTTGAAAAATCTCCTAAATTGTAATTTATGGATGGGAGGATGTGGTGGGGCTGCCAAGACAAGCACAAAAGGCCAGGGTGGGTATTAGAAGAAGACAAAACTAGCTGGATTAGACTGCCTAATAAAAAAAGGGAGAAGAGGAAAGTCAGCATTTGCACAGAGCCCAGCTACAGGCAATAATCCAATTTACAGGGAAGCAAGAGGCTGGTGGTGACCTTGCTAAAAAAAAAACTCAGCTTGCCAAAAATAGCCCTGACAAATTGAGGGGTGCCAAAAAATAAGGAGCTAATCAGCAACAAGCAGCAGCAGAGAGGCAGCAAGTTTGTCTCCCTGCAAAAGGTGAGTTATGCAGCAGAAGAATGACACCCACCCATTTCAAACCAGGAGAGTTGCAGTTTCCAGGGGCTTATAAATCAGCAATCAGGGCAGGAAAACAAATATTCAGCTTATTTTTCCCCAGATCTGCCTAAATGTTATGAGAATTAACAAGTTGTTCCAGGATTCATCATCGTCTGCTTTTCTACCATCATCCAGAAGTGATGCTCCACCCCTGGCACCACCTCTGTCTGGTTTGTAACCCAAATTTGGTACCTTCTGGGATGAGAGTTTGCTTATAAGAGTCCTCTGCAAGGTTAGGCACTGGGCAGAGGTTATGGACACAGTTATCTCAGCACATGGCAAGCTTGAGGAACCTCTAAGGCATAAGTTGGTTCAACTTCTCTGTGAGAGATGCCAAAAAAACACATACACCAAGTACAGACTTTTCATAAAGAAGAATATCAAAGATCCAAAGCAGTGATCAAAGCATGAAGGGCTCCCAAAACCTAATTCCCTCCAGGAACAGCATTAATATTCAGGAGAAGGAGCTCTTTTTCCCCCCTGAGGCTCTTACATGTGTTCCTGATAGTTAAGCTTGGCCCAAACTGACACAATTTTATTCACAAAGTAGTAATTTCCCCTCACAATGGAGAGATCTGAGTCAGCTGCTTAATGAAGGCATCTCACAGAGAGCAAAGCCAGAACGGGCTCTGGCAGCACAGGCACCAAGCTTGTGCCACTTCACCACTTGCTGAAGCACCTTCTCCACTCAGGACTGCCAAGCTCCTTGCTCAGAGAGTAGCATATGTCCCTTCTGGCTCAGAAAGCTCCAAACTGAGCTTCTAAATTGGAGCTAATTGCCCCCGAAACAATTACAGAGGCAACAGAGAGATGCAGGTGACTCAAACCACCCTGAAAGAGATGTCTAAGATAAATCCCAGGCTGAGGGTGCCCATTTCTTCCTACAGGCTCAAAAAGAGCTAGCTGAGATCTGGATGTCCTTTCCTGGACACCTGATGTTGGGTGAGATGACTCCTCCCTGGCACTGGATGGAGAGCTGCACATCCCTGTGTCTTTCCTGCCCTTGTATGTGGAAGTAATCAGGGTTTATTTCTTCTAACAGGACATAAATCAGGTTATTAAAATACAAACAAGACTAAAGCTTATCCCTATCACTACTCTCATCCAGAGGTCCTCATTAGGGGGTCCACAGGCCCTGCACATCCTTCTCTGAAGTAGTCACTGCTGGTGTCTGGCCTGGTGTTGAGTAAAATACAAGGGGAAGGATAATTATCCTTTAGTAATTTGGTGCCAGATCACTTAGAGACCTCTAAACTAGAGCCACAAGCTGCTTCTTGGGTCCTGTTGCAAAGAGGTAAAGCTCACCATAACCTGCCTTCTGCTTTACAAGAGTGCTCCTACACTTGCTCTGCAGAAGTCTCCTTGTGCCTGCCTTGGTAGAGTACCTGAAGCCTCTCCTGTATCCTGCCTGAAAGACTGTGACGAATTGCACTGCCTCAGAGATGTCCAAGACAGAGAGGAAAATGCATTTCCAGACCTTCTGGCCACGCAGTTGAGACCAGACTCTTTAAACATAGCAACAGGCTCCTTGTCTCCTGTGCCAGCAAGTCACTTGAGACTGGCAGGTCCACTCATAGCATCAGCAGATATGCATCCAACTACCAGCTCAAGTTATGGAGCACCCACCAAAATGCTGCTTTGGGCAACCTCCGTGCTTCCTATGGAGCTGCTGAAAACCTTCCTTATCTAATTGTTGAAGAAATCAAGAGGAATGTCACTATTTGTAGGAGATGTGGCTCTGCTGCTTTCTCTATTGACCCCCGTGGCCTCACCATGAGGTCTGGGAGGAGGGATGGTCCTTTATTCATTGGCACTGTGTAGCAGAGGGCTGCTGAGCATGCCCTTGGACCATGAGCTGAGCCTCATTGTAGTCTTCTTGTCCACCCTTCCCAAGCTACAACTGCATGTGGCAGTTCAGAGATGGTGGGGATCTAAAACAGAGGAGGGAAATCAGCAGGCGTGCAAACAAAAAGGCACTGCAAGGACAGGAGGTAGAAATCCTCAGAGAAGAAGCAACAGGACCAAGGTGCAGAGGAGGTCTGGCAGGCAGGGACCCACTGGGTGATGGAGCAGGGCTTGGGAAGGTGTTGGGGCTAACCCCAGGCCTCAGCATGTGAGAAGAAGCTGGTGTGGTACATGTCATCCTGCTTTCAAGACTCCAAGTCCAGTGGAAGCTTTCAGAAAGACTCAAAAAGCTGCCCAGGGACTTCTGAAGCACAAGGGCAGTAGAAATATCAATGCTCCTCTAGCCTAGAGAGCCATCAGCACCAGATTGTTTGCAAAGACACACTTAATTGCTGGCCAGAAAGAAGAGCTCATCCAGAAGATCACCCCAGTCTACAGGAATTTCCCTTTTAGCAGTGAGCTATCAATCCAAGCAGCCTTTTCTATACACATTGCAGCCTAAAAGTGCCATTTATCAGGAAATAATCTCACCTGAAACCAGTAGGATTATTGAAGTGTACCAAAACAATGCCATTGGAGAAGAATTAAGCCTAATTAAGGTGCAAAATGAAGGCAAATTACAAATCACTAAACCAGAAGTGATGTTCTGCTGGGTGACATTTGCTTTGCTTGTGGTTGTGTTATACTTGGAGGGAGGAGATGGATTCTTTTCTGAGGAAGAGCTTTAAATAAGGGAAGGAGAAGAATTTCAGTGGGAATGTGAGGCTGGAAAAAAAGAGGCAGCAAGACTCTCTACACATGGCACCTGTAGTGGGTTTTTCTGTGTCCCATTGTCTTTCATGGGCCTGTCTCACCTCTTCTCATGGTCCTTATATGAAAGGGGGAAGGCTGGTGCATGGCAGAAGACACAGTTCAGCCCTGGAACTTGGCCAGCTCTAAGGAAAAAGGGACCACTGAGGATGCAAATTCAGCTCACAGTTGGGATTCTCATTTTCAGGAAGCACCCAGACTTCTGAAAGGTCCAGCTAGCAGGAGGTACCTCAAATTAAGGGTGAAAAATATGAATTCTGTTGAAAATCTAGGCCTTATTATCAGAAACTTTGCAAAACAATGCTGAAAAACCTCTTCTCCTGACTCTAGGGAAATTCCTGACCATCCTCCACACCGTGGCATCAGAAACATCTCAGCAATATAAACTTCCACAATCACACAATATTCCCCAGATGTCTTCAGGCTCCACTGAGATTTTATTAGGTTCCCTGAAACAAGGAGAGCAGCTTTGCAGGTCTTAGCACCAAGCTTCACATTTCTCCAGGCTGGTGGGCAGTTGCCAGCTTCTACTCTGCTTCTTCATGCATCGGGGCAGTGATGGCCATGAGCTCCTCTTCCAGCATTTCCATTTGAGCCTTGATGTCTGACACAGTATTTTTCACTGCCTTCAACTGCAGCTTCAGCTTCTTGTAATCTTCTTGGAAGGCTCTGCCCACGTTGGAGAGCATGGGACAGTCCTGTCTCTCCCCTGGGAGATCGTTGACCTTCAGGAAGACATGGAGGTATTCATATAAGTCCTGAAGAGCCTGGAGGATTTCAAACTCACCTGGTGGGCTTGGGGCAGACTTGGTCTTATTCTGGCTTGGAGTGGTGCTCTGCTTTTCAGCTTCATGTTCCTGCTGGGGACCAGGGTTACCTTCTGGGACATCTACAAAGGTGTCAACATCCTCCTGAAGATCTGAGAGGGCACCTTGGCTCTCTTCACAAACTGTGATGGCTTTTCGGTCTTGCCAGGTGATGGGGGCTGCTTTATTCTGCTCAAAATGCTTGAAGACTCTATGGTTCTCCTGGATTGCCTGGAGAACTTCGTTGTCTGGGTTGACCTGAAAGCCTGTGTTCCTCTCTTGGAAGAATGGGAAGGGTTTGTTCTCCTTTTGGAGGCTTTGCTGAATGGCATCAGTGTAAATAAGGGGGGCAGCCTCGTTCTGTGACTGGAGACACTGGAAAGCTTTGTTTTCCTCCCAGAGCATCCTGTTCTCAATCCTGAGGACTTGGTTTTCCTCCCAGAGAGCTCTGTTCTCCTCCCAGATGTTCCACTCATGCTGTGCCTTCCTGCGGAAGAGTTTCTGGGGGGCAGCAAGGGGTGGCTGGCAGTAGATCTCGTTCACCCATTTCCCATCCATCAAGACAAACACTTCATCCCTCAGTTTTATCCGTGGGGCAACATATTCTCTCTCAGGCTCTGTGCACTGCATGCTCTGGCTTGTCAGATCAAAAGCAGACATGGTCTTGCTAAAGGCAGTTGTAGAAGATCTTCCAGGACTTCTGCAAGAGGATGGTGTCTACTGGCAATGAGATGGTGACACAGAGGCTCTGGAGAAGCTTGATCAGGACAGAAAGAAGAGGAAACACATGCACAGTTACTGCTAAATTCAAGGTTAGATTTAAAGCCTATTGGGTGTTGGGAATGAGCATGTCAGTGTTGCTCCTTTGACTCTGGGAAGGCACCAGAATGCACCAAAAGAAGGCACCAGAAAGAGTTTATAGAGGCTGAGAAAATTGGCATTGGTAGGTAAAACAGCTCTGTGGTAGCACCACAAGCTTGGGTATCAAAATCTGGACTCTCCTTTTATTTGTCTACCTCATTTTTACAGCCATGTGAAGGAATAAAATCCAAGAGTATCTTGCATCTCATTCTAATCTGTTCCCAAACAAATGAGAGACAATTGAACTAAAAATTGTTATGGGGCTGAAACCAAGTTTTCAAAAGAAAACATTTTCAAAGGATCACAGTGAAAAACTGGCCTTGAAAACTCTTTTTTCCATGTTGATGCTCAGTAGCCTGTGTTAACAGGATGCCACAAAAACGCAGTGGCAGCTTCTGGTCTTAAAATCCACAGAAGTGTGAGCTGGAAGAGCACCAAAAGATACAACAGGCACAAATTAAAACTCCAAATGGAGTTAATCCAAGCAGATTAAAAATCCAACTCCCTGAAATATTGGGACCAGGAGAGCTCTGTTGCTCCTTGCATGTTTTTCTGACAAGTTCCCATCACCATGGTCCAAAAACTCACCATCCATAGGTCATTCTCCATCTTCTCATTTCCCCATCACTCTTTTCTTTATATCCCTTGATAGCTCAGTTATTTTTCTTTGCTTTCTAGCCTTGCGTGATTGCTCATCTCTTTCCTACAGTCTGTCTGTCTTTTCCACGTCATCAGAAAACTCCTCACTTCAAAATCCATGCTGCTGGACCAGACCTCCAGTGCTTGCAGTCACAGGAACCTCAAACTTATCTGCTCAACACACCTCCCTCCTTCCCTCTGCCTGAAATGTGGCTTTAATCACCTTCTAGTCATAAGTCATTCCAGGCAAATGAAGGATTTCAGTCTTTCTACATCATCACCAACAATAATAAGGTATTTTGTGCCAAAAAAGCTCTTCTTTTCAGCAGTTTTTAACCAAAATGACATCTGTGTGCTTTCCATGATGAAGCCGTTTGAACTGAGGCTGAACTATTTTGAATAACCAAATTATTTGGATTCTTAGGGTTTCTTCACAGTGTTTCTAAAACACCCTCTCCTTTCCAAAACCTGCTGCTCTCCCCTTTCCCTGCCCTCTCCACCACGCAGCACTGCATCTCTGGGCACCTCCAGGTTGCTTCTGAGAGCCAACATCTGCAGATGCTCCCTTCACCCCCTCCCCAAGCTTGTTCCAAAGCTCAGAGAATTATTGGTTGTGTTCAAAATCCAAAACCCCTTCATGCAGAGAGGGCAACTGCAATACAGTCCTGGTGGCCATAACACTTGATTTCATTGCAATAGGGTCTCCATCTGACTTTCAACAGTTGCCTTCCACATCACCAGCTGGTTTCTCTCATGCTGGACTTGTGTTTTCATAACATCATTCCTCTGTTAAGAGGGATTTCCCTGAAAACTCCCAGTTTTGAAGGTTTGGTTTCCATTTATGCCACATTCAGGGCTGTATCTCTCTCCCTTCTTTCCACCCTCTCCTCTGTGACCTTCCCAACCCATCCCATTCCCTCAAGGTCCCCAGTCGTGTTGCTTCCACACATCCAGCATCCCAAACCCAGACCCACCTGCCACCAAGTCTCATGGGCAAGCAGCTAGAGGTCTGAAAGTCACTGGAAGTGTTTAGAGGGCATGTTTTCAGGAGGAACAGAAACATCCAATATAGACAGCACTGAAGGATGTTATCTTGGGGACAACTAAACCTGACAGCAGCTCTGTCAGCTCTTTTGCACCACAGAGGAGACATCGACCCAAGCTTCAGAGAGATGCTTCAAGTTCTCCCACCTCCCACATTGTTTCCCCCCCCTCTCTGAGCTAAATGATCCCAGAAATGCTGGGCAGCTAGGGCTAGTGGCCAGGGTGGCCAGCTGAGGAGAAGCAGCATGAACTCAAGCTGAGCTGGGCTAGCTGACAGCACTGTGCCCACCATGTCCTTACCTGCTCTCTGGGACTGGTGGTCTTCCCTTTCCCCTTGCCAAGCAGCCCAGCTTGAGGTCTTCCTGCTGCTGGGGTATCCAGGTGTGGTGGAAGACAGAGGGGACCTTCTGTGATGCAAGCACTGGCAGGAACCTCACCCCAGATGCACTGGGGCCTGGGAGCTCCTGCACACCCTCCTTGCACAACCCACTCCTGCTCTCCTTCCCCAAGATTGTCCTTGATTTTTCCCAGCATTGTGTTTTTGGGTTGTTTCTTGACCTCTCTGGTAGCTCAGCTCTCATGCCCTTTCTTGATCCCAGACTTCCTGATGTGCTTTTAACACTCCTAACTGAGAGCATTTTGGGTGGATTCTTTCTCCAGCACATCCTTTGAAAACAAATCTTGGTTTTAATCCAGATCTTCAGTTTATAGTTGTGGCTGAACTGATATTGGTATGTTCAAAGAACACTTCCTTCTATGTGCTGTGAGACATGAAGTTATTTTCCAAGGACAACACAGGTTTGGGGTTTTTCTTTGATTATTAGTTTAAGAGCAGACTGTTGCTGAACCCTATTAAGAAGACAGAATACTCAGGGCATTAAGGATTCTATGATTGCAAGTTTAGATATTATTTCTTGAATAAATAAATACAGCAGTTCATTTTTTTGCCAGTGAGAATTACCAGCTTGACATCAGGCTCAAGGTGAGTGATATTGCTTTAGGAAGGTAGAGGTACAGCTCAGCTTTGGTGTTATACAAAGATGATAAACTCAGGGATAAAATTCTTCTTTGTATTTCTCCCTTATTATATTTCATCTCAGAAAACAAAAAAATCAAAGGTTACTATGGCAACTCCCCAGGGAGCATCCTCCTTCATTTGAGCTCCAGGATTCTGCCCAGGAAAGCAGGAAAATGTCTTGAAAAAGGAAAGATTTTTATCATGGGATGCTTGTAGGTGGCTTAGCATCAGCTGGGGAATTTCAGGGTGCAACCAGTTTCCAGGAGGGTTGGCTGGAATGGCCAAATTCCTGAAGAACTGAGGACACCTGAAACAGACCTCTGATGAACATCTTAAGGTCTAAGAGCCAACTGCAAAAAGAGAAGCAAGAGCAGCAGAGAACTGATGAGCAAACCCTGCTGAATCCAGAGCCACTGAGCACTAAATTGGCAGTCTACTACCTTCATATTTTCTTATGCAATATTTTCCTTAGAACTGGAAAGAGTCCTCCTGGCAAGCAGATGATTTCCTGAAAATTATGACTCCAAAGACCAATAGATTTGGATTAGATTTAGTGAACACCATCAGAATGGGAAATGTTGCAACGACTCACTGGGGAGTTTTTTTAGGGCAGCTACACTGATCTCTGAACTGGATTCTCCAAAGGCCTGAGATGTCATTCACAAAATTACACAGGCAGAAATAATGCTGAGGGTGTTCCCTGCCAAGAGACAAGTGACCCTTGCTCTGTGAGAAGGGTTTGAACTAACTTCCCAGCTGAGAGCTTTGTCCACAGCTTCAGACTACTCAGGTTTTTTTTTCCATGTGAAGCTGGTTTACCATACAAAGAATTCAATTTTAATTGAAACCATCCTACCTGCAGACCCTGCACCAGGCTGTTCAGCTGACCTGGCTGTCCTTCTTCTTGGAGATTGTGGTTCTGGAAAGGATCCAGGAAGAAAGAGTGGATGATCCCACACACATTCATCTGATATTCTCAATTTTGGAAGCTCAGCTCCTTGCTGGACTGCAAGAAGTCACCACACAACCTTTATCAAGCTGGATGAAGCTCTGAGTAGCTTGATCTAGTTGGAGATGTCCCTGCTTGTGGTGGGGGGTTGGACTAGATGAGCTTTGGAGGTCCCTTCCAGCCCAGACATTCTATGAAGCATCTGCTCTTTTCTTTTTATAAATGGGTGATATTCCCAAATCTTTATTTGATAAAGCCAAAGGTGTCTGCTGGTCCCAGTCTCTGACACCTCCAAACCCCAAACAGCACCAGGCACTGCTGTTTAGGCAGAAGACTTGAGCCTTTGGTGGCTTGTCAGCCAGGGGAGGCTTCAGCCCTCACTACTGCACAGATTGGGGGTCTGCTGACAGCAGGAGAGCTTCAACACTTCACTGTCCTGTAGCTATTACCTTTAGATGTCTCCAAGTAGCTGTCTACAGTCTGGAAGTGAATCTTCCCCAGCCTGCAGTGTTGATGGACACGACACACAACCTCCTAAAGACATAGCTGGCCCTCCCTGGGCTGAATGCTGAAGAATCTGGAGTTTTCAGCCTCCTCAGTGAGGTGTTGAAGCAGTGTCTCCCCCCCTAGCAAAGCTCCTCAGCTCAGCTCCAATGACTACTGCACCATCTGGGACACCTCAGTGGGGGTCAGCTTAAAAATAAGCAGCATTCTCCATTTATTTTACAACAAAGCCATGCTCAAAGTCATGGGCATCAAGCATGACACTCAAAAGATGAGGGAAACACCAAGGAAGGTCCCATTTCACCTGCAAAGGCAGGAGCTGAGGGTCTCAATGAGCAGATCAGACCAGGAGCCCCCAAGTCTCACAGGGTGAGAGGAAAAGTGACCTGCTCCACTCCTGACTGACAAGGAGAAAATTGAGGATTCGGGCTGATTAAGCACTCTCTAATCATGATTTATGGGGTCCTGTACATTTTAATCTATCAAAAAAGAAAAAAAAAATCATCTAACTAGCTAAGTGTGCAATCCTGGATATTAATTGTCTATTAGCCACTTCTTAATTATAATGGAATGCTTATCAAATAACATGTGATGGCCACATAACACCAATTTAAGTCATTATCAGACTATCTCCTGCTTTAATAA